AGGGACAGGTGGGCTCTGTCCCACATCCAGGTGAGGGACAGGTGATCCCGGGTGCTGCCCCGTGGATCCTGGCTCTGCTCCGGGCTGTGCCCGTGCAGGTGGGCAGTGCCCAGGCTGGCAGTGGTGCCCCACAGGTGCTCACCTGTCGCAGGTGCACTGCATCAGCACGGAGTTCACGCTGCGCAAGCACGGCGGCGAGAAGGGCGTTCCCTTCCGCGTGCAGATCGACACCTTCAGGGAGAACGAGAGCGGCGAGTACACGGAGCACCTGCACTCTGCCAGCTGCCAGATCAAGGTGTTCAAGGTACCTGCGAGCCCCTCCCACCTGCACTCACCTGGGAGTCTGCCCCAGTTCTTGCTGGGGGCTTCTGGTGCCTCTGGAACCTCCCAGCCCCAGGCTGGTGCTGCAGGTGACGGGAGGGTGTGGTCACACCTCGACGTGCCGTGACTCCACCTGGACAGCCCCACAGTCTCACCTTGGCTCCTCTTTTCTCACCTGTTCACCTCAGGGGGGTCAGCAGCGTTTGGGGTCCTGCTCTGGCCTCCCCTGGTCCACCTGGGCCAAATTCCTTCACCTGTGAGTGCACAGGTGTTCAAGGTGTGACAGGGTCAAGGCCAACCCTTGACCTCATGTCCAGGTACAGCTTGTCCCACCAAAGTCCTGTCTTCTACCTGGGTGATGCAGATGCAGAAGACACAGCTCAGGTGTACTCAGGGGATTACAGGTGCATTCAAGTGGTTACAGGTGTGTACAAAGTGGTTACAGATGTACTCAGGTGGTTACAGGTGTATTCAGGTGGTTATAGATATGTACAAAGTGGTTACAGGTGTATTCAGTTGGTTACAGGTGTACTCAGATGGTTACAGGTGTATCCAGGTGGTTACAGGTGCATTCAGGTGGTTACAGGTGTATCCGGCTGGTTACAGATGTACTCAGGTGGTCACAGGTACATTCAGGTGGTTACAGGTATATCCAGGTGATTACAGGTGTACTCAGGTGGTTACAGGTGTATTCAGGTGGTTACAGGTATATCCAGGTGGTTACAGGTGTACTCAGGTGGTCACAGGTACATTCAGGTGGTTACAGGTGTATCCAGGTGGCCACACCCCCTGTCCCTGCCGGGGCCCTCAGGACAAGCTTCTCCCAGAACTGCTCCTTTTCCCTCTGTGGAGCACCAAGAGGGCTGAGTCACCTGTGCACCCTGGGTCACCTGTGTGGTTCCCACACACCTGTCCTGGCCTGTCCCCAGCCCAAAGGAGCCGACCGGAAGCAGAA